TTCTTCTTCTTCTTCTTTTTCTTCTTCTTCTTCTTTTTCTTCTTCTTCTTCTTTTTCTTCTTCTTCTTCTTTTTCTTCTTCTTCTTCTTCGTCTTCTTCTTCCTCTTCTTCGTCAGCTTATTCTTCACTTCCTCTTTCGGTTAACAAGAACGTAGTAGTGGTTCCAGCAGAGACGTACTATTCAGAACGCATCAATTAGTCCCCGGTTAGCGCGAATATTTTAATACGAACTGCTAATTGTAAGGTCCGTTGGAATTTGATTTAACGAGTGCTTCACTTCATCTGCTCAAATATAGGGACATGATGTTGTCCCGCTCCACATTGTGTCGATGTCTATCTCCATGGCAATGAAAGTACAACATGGGGAGAGAACTTGAATTTGCTACATGTGTCCCCGTGTTACTTCCGGGTCCCATTGATGGGAACAGGATATAAGGGACTTCTTGAGTGTGAAAGTGCATGAGGCAGGAGAACTGGCGAGAGACCGAGTTTCTTTCAGGCAGACTGTGATGAGAGCGACGTTCTGCAAAGGACCTGCTACATGAGGATGATGATGATATATTTTTAACCAATTATGTTTTTCTGAAAACTAACAGATTTACTTCATTGAGGGGTTTATATTTATTGTTGTATATTTATATTTGTATATTAATTAGTATTTAATTGTGAAAAGCTTTTTACTCTATGTCAGCTTTTCACTATATCATCACTTGATCCTCTCAGTGATTGATAATGAACTAAGACCGCTCACTGTCTCAAAGAGTCAACTAGGTAAACTAGAGCGCATACAGAAGGCAGCTATGCGGGTCACTATGGGTTGTAGCAGAGACACCCCTGTGGTATGTATGCGATACATCCTTGGTTTGCCGACTGTTGCAGGTAAGCTCAAGGTGCTGCAGGGAAAGGCATGCTTCAGAGTACCTGCAGACAAAGATCACCCTTTGCACGAAGGGCTGGATGCAGTCAAGGGTCAGAGGCTGGTATGAGGGACATCATTGATGACTCAGGCAGAGGACATGATCATACAGGTTTGTATCCTGGAGAACATTAGGCGAGGAGAGAAGTGGGTCAGAGTGCCAGTGAAACAGATTTGTGAAGACATAGTCACATTGAGTCGGGAGTTTAGGGAGTGACCAACCGTTGTCACGGAGGTGGACATTCAGCAATTAATTCAAAATAATACTCGGTCAGGTAAAATGATTATTTATACAATCATTTCAGTGACAAGATCCCCAAAAAGTGTTTGAGGTTTCTAAGCAAAAAGTGTTGGTAGACGTTTGGTACAGAAGAGTTTAGAACGATACCACAACATCTAGCTTCAGAATGGAGGTGGCGGCGGTCACTGCAGCTTTCCGCTGGTTAGAGAACACAATACACACGCGAATCGTAATTGTAACTGACTTAGAAAAGCATGTTGAGGAAGGCGAGGACATGCATGCTTCGTGTAAAGTGTCATTCTTCGCTTCAGGTGAGGGTGGGGAGCATTGTCTGGATCTGTTCTCCGGGTATGCTGGTGTGTTGGGAAATGAATAGGCGGACAGACTGGCTGGCTCTGCACAACTTGGTGGAGTACTGATGCATAGTAAGACAGACGTGGTTAAGACCTTATGGGAGCACGAGTACAATTCGGAGGAGCAAATGAATCATCAGCATGGTGAGAGTGATGCAGCTAGGAGTGATGAAAAGTTCTGGCCGATACTCGACGTTCAGGGAAAAGGCTGGACGAACGTATAATTAAACTGCTACTGGCACCATTGATACTGGAACTTTGCGTTGGCTGCTGGAGATAGGGACGGGGCGTTTATGGGAATGCCCCGAATGCTGTGATGTTAGTTCTTGAATCTACTCGCCTCAACTTAACTCTATTTCATAGTATATTTCTTCATTTTTTTTTCTGCTTGAAGTAGATTATCTATATCTCCAAAGTTGAACTTCACTGTCTGTTGTAATTCACTTAGCGACCCGTAAAGTTTAGCTCATACCAGTGTTAACTATGAAACCAATAGAACGAATTTTGCCGTTTATGATTTTGAATCTCAAACACTTCATCAAGTAATTAGTGAATTTAAGGGATGCAGAGTTGCATCAACATCCTCTATGATGCACCAGACTCAGCGTTCATACAGGTCAAAAACATTCACACCTCATCATGGAAGAATGGAAGGACACACTAGACAACACAAACATTTAAAGCTATAGTTATCATGCCGGGAATCGAACGCGCCACATTCAAACGACGACAGCGTCTTCCTGCATAAACATGTGTGCCAAGACGCACGTCTAGATAGGCACCCCTGATAAAGTTGTCATCGTTAACCATGTCTGTCCTGCAGCTTGAATTCACATCAATGGAATATGGACAGCGGTCGTCTCAAACCATTGAAATGAGCCCATAGGTTACATAAATATTTATTAACCAAACATAGGTCGAATAACAGACACAACACCAATTACGAACCCACCGGGTCGTAATGCTGTGTCTCGAATACAACGATAAATGCATGTTTATTTGTTCCTCTATATACTTTTTTAACAGCCTCGAGGCTCTCAATCGGTATATCTCTGTGTATTACCTCATTCTGGTCATCCCAGAAACGAGTTCCTACTGTGAGGCTTAGCAGACGTAGATAAGATCGGTGTTTCATTTGAAGTCGATGATGTTTAGGTAGCGAGGAACCAACAGTCTGCACACAATAAGCCAGATACCGAAGTATAATTTGCACGTAATACACAAGCTCGTGGACAGAAGCAAGGTTCGTATACAGATGACCAGCCTGGACTAAGCTAAGCTGCTTCCTATTCGTATATTAATGTTGTATATTCAGCTAGACAATATTCTGACTATATGCTGATACTGTCTGTTAAATTACACCTCCACTATCCTTCTCTCTTTCTCTCTTTCTCTCTTTCTCTCTCTCTCTCCCTCCCTCTTATCGTTTCCTCCTCTCTCTTTTCTCTCTCTCCCTCCCCTCTTTCCCTCCTCTTTCTCACCTCTCTCTCTCTCCCTTCCCTCTCTCCCACGCTGCCGTCTGAAGGAGCAAAATACCTTGTTCTTCCTCCTATTATTTATCTTAGTCTTGTATTTGGGGTAAAGTAGACGGTGTAACAGAATAGACGGTGTAACAGAATAGACGGTGTAACAGAATAGACGATGTAACAGAATAGACAGTGTACCAGAATAGACGGTGTAACAGAATAGACAATGTAACTGAATAGACGGTGTACCAGACAATATTATCTGTACCTGCAGAAACTGTTTCAGTGGCAAGTGAGCTGGTATGGATAATTTAAACGCGATTGTGGAAAGACAAGCCTATTTTTAAGCAGGTCGTAACTAGCTCCGTCAGTTTTGATTATTGTCAATTCTTATTATTTTTTTTTTTTCGCGTTCACCAGCTGTAAACTCCTGCTCAAAGTTCTGGTTGCTCGTCCACTTCTGGACTGCAGTTCTGTTTCAAAACCTGAGTGTCGAATGTGCATCCGTTTAAAAAACCTGACTTATTTGAGTACAGAGTTTTGGTTCCTTGTCTCTCAGGCAGATGCACTCCGACTTCGAAGGAAGCTCCCAATTAGTCGTCTCTTACGAAATGCTCGTGGGTAGGCAGTGGGTCTGTCTATTTTTGTTCTCCCTATAACAGGACCCCAGAACACACACGGAGATATTGTCAATTCATTCATTCATTATTTTATTCTGTCGGATAACCTTCCAATTTGTAATATTTTGCCTGGCCAGCGGGTGTAGAAATGAGACGTTTGCGATGCTTTACTTTTCTTTTCAGAAAATATAAACTTTTCAGATTTCTCCAAAATGTCAGTGGCATGTTAAAGGAAACACTAATGGTTGCATGGTGCAAAAGTGTCGGTCTGCATGCAATATTGAACAACGCGGGACTCATGATTTTTAAAAAAAAAACCGTGGTTATTTCAGGTTTTCAGGGCGCGACTGATAACCTGTAATTTGTTGACGATCAGCAACAAAGTGCGGGATATTTGGTTATAAATTACAGTGGCACAGGCAACGAGAAACTTTCTACGGCTCCTAATTGTTTTCAGCCGATTTGCTGTGTTTCTTGCATCATGTATAATATGTCTCTAGTTGTTGTGGTCTCTATTCATTTATCCACCCTTTCGTACGCTCAGCCTTTCGCCTATCAATCTCTTCGTTAATAAATAGGTTTATTTATCTTTCTATCATTCATTTGCTACTTGTTTCATTCATCCATTTATTTATTTCCACAAACCTATTAATCCATTCCATATTTCTTAAATTTGTTTACGGATATATTCGCCCTTCTATCACTTTTTCATTCATTTATCCATCATTCGATGTGTATCAATTCGCGGTCTTTTCATACTTTGGTCCATCCACCCAGAATTCAGTGCGTTTATTAGTCCATCCACGTGTTTATTCGTAAGTTCAACCATCCACCCATTTGACCGCCTATGTGTTCACCCACCCTTTTGACCATCCATGTGTTCCCCGAAACTTTTGACCATCAATGTGTTCACAAAGACTTTTGACCATCCTTGTGTTCACCATAAGTTTTGACCATCAGTGTGTTCATCCAAAGTTTAACCCATCCATGTGTTCACCCTAGGTTTTGACTATTTATCTGTTCACCCTAACTTTTGACCATTCATTTATTCACCGAACCTTTAACCATCCATGTGCTCACCCAAACTCTTGACCATCCATGTATCCACCCAAATGTTTGACCATCCATGTATTTACTCAAACTTTTGACCATCCATATGTTCACCCAAAGTATTGACCATCCATGTGTTCACTCAAACATTTGACCATCCGTGTGTTCACCTTAACTTTTGACCATCTATTTGTTCATCCACTCTTTTGACCATCTATAATCTATGTGTTCATCCTAACCATTGACCACCCTTGTGTCCACTCAAACTTTTGACTATCCATTTGTTAACCCACATTTGTTCACCCACTCTTTTGACCATCCATGTGTTTGTTTACCAACCATTTTGGCCGTCAGTAAATTCGCCCATCCTGTTGACTGCCCGTGTGTTGACTGCCCGTGTGTTGACTGCCTGTGTGTTGACTGCCCGTGTGTTGACTGCCTGTGTGTTGACTGCCCGTGTGTTGACTGCCCGTGTTTTGACCACCTGTGTGTTGACTGGCCGTGTGTTGACCGCCCGTGTGTTGACTGCCCGTGTGTTTACTGCCTGTGTGTTGACCGCCCGTGTGTTGACCGCCTGTGTGTTGACTGCCTGTGTGTTGACTGCCTGTGTGTTGACTGCCTGTATGTTGACCACCTGTGTGTTGACTGCCTGTGTGTTGACCCCCCGTGTGTTGACTGCCCGTGTGTTTACTGCCCGTGTTTTGACCGCCCGTGTGTTGACTGCCCGTGTGTTGACTGCCCGTGTGTTGACCGCCTGTGTGTTGACCGCCTGTGTGTTGACCGCCCTTGTGTTGACTGCCCTTGTGTTGACTGCCCGTGTGTTGACTGGCCGTGTGTTGACTGCCCGTGTGTTGACTGCCCGTGTGTTGAATGGCCGTGTGTTGACCGCCCGTGTGTTGACTGGCCGTGTGTTGACCGCCTGTGTGTTGACTGCCCGTGTGTTGACTGTCTGTGTGTTGACTGTCCGTGTGTTGACTGGCCGTGTGTTGACCGCCCGTGTGTTGACTGGCCGTGTGTTGACCGCCTGTGTGTTGACCGCCTGCGTGTTTACTGCCCGTGTGTTGACTGCCTGTATGTTGACTGCCTGTATGTTGACCGCCTGTGTGTTGACCGCCTGTGTGTTGACTGGCCGTGTGTTGACCGCCCGTGTGTTGACTGCCCGTGTGTTGACTGCCCGTGTGTTTACTGCCCGTGTTTTGACCGCCTGTGTGTTGACCGCCTGTGTGTTGACTGCCTGTGTGTTGACTGCCTGTGTGTTGACTGCCCGTGTGTTGACCGCCTGTGTGTTGACTGTCTGTGTGTTGACCGCCTGTGTGTTGACTGCCTGTGTGTTGACTGCCCGTGTGTTGACTGCCCGTGTTTTGACCGCCCGTGTGTTGACTGTCTGTGTGTTGACCGCCTGTGTGTTGACTGTCTGTGTGTTGACCGCCTGTGTGTTGACTGTCTGTGTGTTGACCGCCTGTGTGTTGACTGTCTGTGTGTTGACCGCCTGTGTGTTGACCGCCTGTGTGTTGACCGCCTGTGTGTTGACCGCCTGTGTGTTGACTGTCCGTGTGTTGACCCAACCACTCATCGAGCGGTATTTTGTGCCTTCGTTTTTAATATCATTAATCATTCCCTTAATTCTTTCTTTCGCTCATTCGCCTTTTTATCCATTTCTTCTATCCAACTGTCATCTCACAGGTTGTTTTTTTTTTTTTTTTTTCATTCACCCTCCCCTTCATCATTTGGAGAGGGGAAAAAACTTTTAAACAGACAGCTGGACTCAAAAATAGGCAAACATGCACACAGGCATACAGAAAAACTAACGGTCAGAAACTCGAAGATGAAGCATAGATAGACGGAAGACAGGTGAACAGCCAGACAGATATACAGACAGACAGATATACAGACAGAAAAGCATCTCACTAAGAGAACAGTGTGATGCTTGAGTTGTTTCCCCCTGATCTCTTCACGCTTGTTTGGGTTCTGTTTTCGCTTCATTTGACTCATGCATATATACTGAACGCACATCTGCTGCTGGGTCGGTTACGCGCTCAAAGTGTGTAGTAGACAAACAGACGAAAAACACCCAGTGACTTCGACACAAGGAGGTAGAAACCAACTCGCAATCTAATCGATGTACATGAGCCAATAGTTTTGCAGTGTCGAGCAGGAAGATGTAAATCAAAGACCAGATAACTCCCACTGGATGACACTCGCTTGTGTGGGGACCTATCGTGTTGTCGCAAGGACACATTGTACAAGAGAGGCATCTCTGAGGTTTAAGTACTCGCACTTGGAAAACATGCCCAATGGAAATTGTTTGTTAACATTCAAAAGTTATGAACCAATTATTTAGGTACACGATTATTATTGTTATGAATATTATATTATGCTTCTTCATCTTCCTTTTAATCTTCTTTTTCTGTTTTTTTCTTTTTAGTCGTTTTCTTCTTATTATTATTATTATTATTATTATTATTATTATATTATTATTTTTCTTCTTCTTTTTCTTCTTCTTCTTCTTCTTCTTTTTCCTCTTCTTCTTCTTCTTCTTCTTCTTCTTCTTCTTCTTCTTCTTCTTCTTCTTCTTCTTCTTCTTCCTCTTCTTCTTCTTCTTCTTCTTCTTCTTCTTCTTCTTCTTCTTCTTCTTCTTCTTCTTCTTCTGCTGCTGCTGCTGCTGCTGCTCCTGCTGCTGCCGCCGCTTTTTTGTTCTTTTTCTTCTTCTTTTTATTCTACTTCGTCTTATTATTATTATTATTATTATTATTATTATTATTATTATTATTATTATTATTATTTATTATTATTATTATTATTATTATTATTATTATTATTATTAATAGTATGCTGCTGCTGCTACAGCTGCTGC